ATACAGGCTCCAGGAAGAACGGGGAGCTCACATTTCAGTCAGGTCCGCTTTTTCCCCCATGGTTCATGCTCCTGTGTCTCTGGGTTACTGGGTCTTACCATTAATGAAGAGGCTAGCTACCAGTAACCTGAGGCCCCTTCCAGCACCAAGTCCTGTAAGCCCACGCTGTCACAGTCCTTCACTGGGGACAGGGGTCTTTTGTTCTCTGCACTCATTACTACCCTGCCCAGTGTCTAGCCACGGGAACCCAAGGCCTCTTGCCCGACTGCAGACACCTATACCTGACCTCTGGGCCCTAGGCCCCAGACCCCCTGCAGTCCACAACCAGTTACCTGAATTATTGGAGTTGCTGAACTTGGATGAATGCTCTTCACTGTTTTCAATAGCAGAGCGCTTCGACTTCTTTAAAAATACAAGAAAGGGAGGGGGAACAAAGAATAAACACACTGAAGGTGGGAGTTCAGATAACAGTATTTTCCGCACACACAGTTAAACTAGCTCCATACAAGGTCATATTTGGCCTCATAACTTATTACAGGGAAGAAGCCACAAGCCAAAACTAAAGGGGAAAGTAAACCCAGGAATGCTGACTTCACTGTCTCGGGCCAGTGGCTTCCTCCAGTTACAGGATACCACAGCGAGCTTGGCAAGACAGAAAGCAGTCTGGCTGAGTCTCTGGATCATGCAGGATTCTTTTGGAAAAATTGCAAGCCAGTCATCTGGAAACAGTTTTAGTTTTCAAGGAGATACGGTGCAAAATCTGTCGTTAAGTGTGTACCATTAACCTAGAACCTTCTTCATGCATGGTCAAGAGCAGAGAGAGAATTCGGAGAGACAGCAGGCTTACCTTTCGAGCTAAGATCTTTCTCTTTTTTCTTTCTTCCTCAGATCCATGGTGTGACTGAGCCCTTGTGAGTCTTCGATGCTGGTGAATCTTGGAGAGACCATAATCCACCATGAACATAAGTATATCCTATGTAAGGCAGTTTCCTAACAAAAACCTTCTCCAATACATTTTGCCCAAATTATTTAGATTAAAAAAAAAAATCTCTCCTTGCTCAGCCTGTCTGCCCCCTGGCTCAGGTCTGAATGCCTGGGAGTAGAGAATCCCAGGGGATGAGGATCGTTCTCACTTCCACCAATTCCTCCTTGTCCTTTTCTCTTTTGTAGATGAAGAGCGTGGTCCCCAGCAGCTTTGGAGCATGGACAACGCGTGCCCACAACTACCACCACCCAGCATTCCCTGATCATAAAGGACGGCCAATCATGGTGACGGGTTTGTTTCCCCCTTAGACTGAGCGCCTTGAGAGCAGGACAGTGAAATATTCAGCCTGGGCGAGAGCGGATACGCACAAAACGCTTCTCGGGTGGACATCAGTCAAACATCCACCACTGTGGATACCACGGACAATGGGGACACTCAAAGATCAAAGGACAATAGGCTCTGTTATCAGTTTACCTGTTTCTGTTCTTCAACGAGTCTCTTTTCTATACATTCTTTGGCAATTCTCAATGCCTCTTTTAATTTTGTGGGGATCTGAAAGAAGAAAAAGAATATAATCTGTTGCATAAAGTGGCTGGAGGTCCCAAGTCCTGGCGTCAATGGAAGAGTAGCTGGTTATTAAGAAGAGGTCATCTCGGGCCAGCTCTGTGGCACAGCAGTTAGGTGATGCGCGGAAGCCAGATCGCACATGGCTGACCAGGGTTTGAGTACTGGCACTGCCAGCTTGAAAACACACCAGGCACACATGTGCCCATGCCCAGAATCCTGACAGAATCCATTTCCTGATGCAGAGCGAGAGGAAAAGGACTGCGGTGTGACCAGGGGGCTCTCCTTCCCTTTCTCTCTCTCATTCACACATGTGTCCTCTGGTATTAAAAAAAAAAAAAAAAAGAAGGTGAAGAAGAAAGGAAGAAAGAAAAAGAAAGGGATCATATGGAATAAAATCAATCAAAGCTGACTACTCAGAACCAGCAGATGGCATAATGGTTATGTTGCTGGACTCCCTTATAGTTGACCGTGGTTTGAATCCTGTACCTGGCGGTTTGAAACTCACATTGGGCGCGTGTGCATGTGTGCCCAAAATCCCAAGAGGAGAATGGAGAATGGGATTGTGGTGTGGCCATCCTCCCGGTGGGGGAGGGGTGACTTCTCACTGTCTGTGTCTCTGTCTCTCTCTGTCTCTCTGGCAAACGCACGCGCCCTATAGCAAAAGTCTCAATAAAAAAAAAAGCTGATCACTCAAATACTGTCCTATTTATGGTATCCCCAGGACTCACCTCTCAGGATTTTTCAGCAATGAATACGTAAAACTAAAACATAAACAAACACAATGTATGTTTCAAATAATTCAAGTAATTCTCAAGGGACTTCGAGTTGACAAAACAATCTTGAAAAAAAAAAAAAAAGATCCCAAATTGGAGGCTTCATATTTCCTGATTTTGAAACCTACTACACAGCTACCTCAAAACAATGTGATAGGAGCCAGGCGCAGTGGAATATGGTCACGACCGCGGCTACTCGGGGGGCCGAGGCAGGAGGAAGGCAAGCTATAGTCCAGTTTGGGCAATACGGCAAAACCCTATGTCTCTAAAAATAATTAATTACTATTTCTTTTTTATTTAAAAAATAGAGGCCAGCAGGTAGCATGGTAGTTAAGGTGCTGGACTTCCACATGGTCAACTATGGTTGTTCGAGCCCCAGACCCAGAGGCTTGAAAATCCTGTGTGTGAATGCCCAAATTCCCAAGAGAGAATGGAAAAGGGATTGTGATGTGGCCATCCACCTTGGGGGTGTTTCTCACTTCCCCTCTCTCTGTCGCTGAGAGCACCCTGTGATTAAAGCCTAAAAATAAACCAATAATGGACCAGCAGTTAGCGTAATGGCTATGTCGCTGGACTCCCACGTAGTCGACCACGGTTCAAGTCCCGGACCCGACGGCTTAAACTCACGCCGGGCACGTGTGCGTGCGTGCCCAAGATCCCGAGAGGAGAGTGGAGGAGAAGGGATTGCAGCGTGGCCATCCCCCCAGGGGGTGATTTCTCGCTTTCTATCTCTGTCTCTCTCTGTCTTTCTGGCGAGCGCATGCGCCCTGTAGGAAAAATCTCTCCAAAAAATAAAAATAAAAAAATAAACCAATAAATAAAACAGTGTGGTAGAGCTGACATAAAGACAGATACACAGACCAATGGAAGAGAACAGAGAGTCCCGTGATAAACCCCAGTAAATTACCAATGATCTTTGACAAGGGCGCCAAGATCAATGGGGGAAGGGCAGTCTCATCAGTTAAGGTACTGGGGAAATTGATATATGCATGCAGAAGAATAAAACTGGACTCTTTACACTATATGCAGAAATTAACTCAAAATAAAACCAAGGCCTAAATGTAAGACCTAAAGCTACTAAACTCCTGAAAGAAAACACGAGAGAAACCCTCAGGACTTATGACAATGGAGCTGGAACTAATTCCTTGGATATGACATCAAAAGCACACATGATAAATGAAGAAAACAAACAAATTAGACAGACAAAATTTAAAAGTGTGTGCAACAATCCAAGACACCATCAATAAAGTAAAGCAACCCAAGGAAGGGAAAAAATAACTGCAGGTCGTATTTTGGATAAGTGATTAGTATCCAGAATATATAAAAGAGTTAGAATTCAACAAAAAATAAGTGTGTGTGTGTGGGGGGGGGGGGGAGTGGGAAAAATAAGTGGGGAAAAAAAAGTGAGACAAGATTTGAATAAACATTTCTCCAAAGGAAGTATACACATGGCCAACAAACTTATGAAAAGATAGCCAGTGGCTAGTAGCTGATCCCACATGGCTGATCATGTTGTTTGAGTCCCAGACCTAGTAGCTTGAAAAATACACCAGGCGCACGTGCGTGCATGCCCCAAATCCTGAGAGGACTGTGGAGAAGAAGGGACTGTAGCAGTGGCCATCGCCCCTTGAGGGGTGATGTCTTATTTTCCCTTTCTCTATATCTATTTGTCTTTCTCTAGCAAACACACAGGCCCTATAGCAAACTAAAAAAGAGAAGCTCAGCATCTCTACCAGAGAAATGCAAATCAAAACCACAATGAGCTATCATCTCACCAGTTAGAATGGCCACTGTCAGAAAAGTAAAATAATGGGGCCAGCAGGTGGCATAGCGGTTAGAGCACTGGAATCCCATGTGACTGACCATGGTTTGAGTCCCAGACCTGGTGGCTTGAAACTCACGGTGGGCATGTGTGTGCATGCATTCCCAAAGTCCCAAGAGGAGAATGGAGGAGAGAGCATTGCAGCATGGCCATCCCCCCTCGAGGGTGATTTCTCTCTCTCTCTCTCTATCTCTTTTTGTCTCTCTGGCGAGCGAACATGGCCTATAGCAAAAATCTCTCCAAAAATAAAAAAGGCAAAATAGTAAATGTTGGCAAGCATGTTGAGAAGTTGGAACTCTTTTGCACTGCTGGTGGAAATTTAAAATGGTATAGCTGCTATGGAGACAGTATGGAGGTTCCTCAAAAAACTAAAGTGGAATTTGCCTTATGATCCAACAATTCCTCTTCTGGGTATACATCCAAAAAAACTGAAAGCAGGACCTCGAAGAGACCTCTGCACCTCCATATTCACTGCAGCATTATTTGCAATAGTCAAGAGGTAGAAGTAGCCCAAATGTCCATCAACAGATGAATGGATGAAGAAAACGTGGTATATCTACACAAGAAATAGTTTTCAGCCTTAAAACCGTTGACAATCCTGTCACTTGCTACAACATGGAACCTTGAGGACATTTTCAGAGTGAAATAAGCCAGTCATAAAAGGGCAGATACTGTATATTTCCACTTTCGTGAGGTATCTAGAGTTGTCAAAATCATAAAGACGGGAAATAAAATAGTGGTTTTCAGGAGTTGGGGTAAGGTAGGAGAAACAGAGTTTCCCTATGGGTATACAGTTTTTTGTTTGTTTGTTTGTGTTTTTTAAGGTTTTTGCCATGGGCGCGTGTACTCACCAAAGAGAGACAGACAGAGAGAGGGGAAGTTGAGAAATCACCTCATGGGGGAATGGTCACACCACAATCTCTTCCTCTCTATTCTCCTCCAGGGATTTTGGGCGTGTATGCATGTGGGCCCTGTGTGGGTTTCAAGCCACCGGGTCTGGGACTCAAACATGGCTAGCCATGTGGGAGTTCAGGGCCTTTAATCACCATGCCACCTGCTGGTCCCAGTTTCTGTTTTTCGAGTGTCAGAGGGTACATGTGTTCACCAGAGAGAGAGAAGGAGAAAGCAACCCAGGTAGAGTAAGGTAAGGCCACAATCCCTCTCCTCCATTTCTCCAACCTGTTGAGATTTTGAGCACATAAGCACATTGTGCCTGGCATGTTTTCCAAGCCAGGCCCTGACCCAGGTATTGCCGTGGATGATCTCAGTTGGCCAACGACAGCAGACAGGTACTCCTCACCAGTTTTACACATGAGGAAACCCTGTGAGTCAGTGGCTCTCAAGTGTGGGCAATTTTGTATACCTCCCCCCGAAGGGACTTTAACAACATCTGGATACGATTTGGTTGTCACAATGGGGAACAGAGGGTGCAGTGTTACTGCCATCGAGTGGGTAGAGGTTAGGGAGATGGCTTCACGTTCCACAGTGCACAGGCCAGACCCCCATGACAAGGAATTACTGGGCCCCAGATGTCAAATCCTGGGGTTGAGAAAACCTGCTGCAGGTAATGGCTAGTATTACAAGAGCAAGTATGGCTTCAGTCGTGTTTCCTGCGTTCCAAAGCCCATGCTCTTTCTTTCTTTTTTTTTTTTTTAATTTTTTATTTAAGTTTTATTGTTTGTTTGTTTAAATTTGACCAGAGAGGGATAGAGGGACAGGATGAGGAGGAGGGAGAAAGTGAGAAAGCAAGCCGCCAGGTCCGGGACTTGAACCACGGTTGGCCATGTGGGAGTCCAGCGTCCTTATCCACCATGCCACCGGCCAGCCCCAATCCATGATCTTTCTATGACACCACAGTAAACTTTCTTCCAGCCTTTTTTTATATACAGACATGTTGTTTAATATCCTTTTAAAATTTACCTCAAATCATAATCACTTTCCATATTACTATAATTCTTAAATAAATTGTTCCTTATTAGATGAAAGTATTTTATCGAATAGGTGTATATATAAATTATTAAAGTAGTCTCTAATTTTAGGACACTTAAATTGTTTCTTTTTTTAAGAACTTTTTTTAAATTTAACATTATTTATTTATGTGACCAGAGAGGGACAGAGTGAGAAAGAGAGGGAAAGTGAGAAAGCAAGCCTCCAGGTCTAGGACTTGAACCACAGTTGACCATGTGGGAGTCCAGTGCCCTTAACCACCACACCATCTGCCGGCCCCATGACATTTAAATTGTTTCTAAATTTTTTTCTACTATATACCTTTTATTTCTTGGCTAAAAAACAAATGCTAAATTTTTTTTTTCAATTGCTAAAGGGAACATGCACCTGCCAAAGAGCAAGAGAAAGAGGGGGAGAGAGAGAGACCACATCCCAATGGGGTGTGGTCACGATGCAATCCTTTTGCCTCCATTTCTCCATCCCCTCAGGATTTTGGAGATGCACATATGCCTGGGGCAGGACCCAAACCATGGTCGGCCATGTAGAACCTGGTTCCCAGTACACAGCACGTAACCACTACACGACAGGTCTCCAAAAAGCAAACTTTCAAAATTATTTATGTCACAAACCAAAAAATGATATCATTTGCTTTACCTTAAACTGTGGCTTTTCAGAAGTGGTTAGTAAAACATCACTGAATAATCTGTAAAGAAAAGAAACAAACAAAAAACCTGTCTTGAACCGGGTGCCATCTCAGAATTGGATCAAAGCAGGTGAAGACACATTTATCCCATAAATTCTCCCTCCCCCGACAGTGCTGGTCCAAGGCACCATTCCCTATCTACCAACAGGAGTTTACAGGCCTCCCACTGTGACCTCTGGCAGCCCCTCCCCGTCCACTGCCTCAGAGACGTGACCGGGGGACCGGCCAGCTGTGTACCGAAGGCTGTTCGCCTGGTGTGAGACAATACGGTATCTGGAAAGAAATTATCTTTGCCACCGCTAATTTGCAAGAATACTGAACATAATAGATGCGGGAGATATTTATAGACAGAATAATTGGTTTTCTTCTTTTTTTTCTCACCTCAGAAGAGGATAAAATTTATCCTGGAACTCAGTAAAATAAAAATGCTCAAGTAAACGGAAAGGAATAGTCCTGATTGGAATTTAATGGAAAACAATTTTCTTTTCATTGTTCATCATGCTTCATTCTAAAAAGAGCAGGTTTTAAAGAGTATCAATTCTCTCTTCCAAAAGTATGTGATTACAACAGCATGAGGGATTCTGACCGGCTTTGGCTGAAACAGATCAGAGAAATGAAATGGCTACCGGGGCAGTCTTTCCTTGAGTGGCCCCCAGTTTAAAGGCAGGAGCGCTGGCGGGGTTTGTGTTCCTCCACGGGACTCCCCAGTCACCCCCCCCCGGCCTGCTTAGCTCCACTTGACACATTTTCACTGGGCACAGGTCACACCTCCCCAAGCCTTCTCAAGGTAAGGCCCACAGAGTAGAAAAAGATGAAGAAAAACTACTCGATTCATTTTAGGACTGGAAACTGGGCCATCTGCGTGTGCCGTGCGGTGGGCGGTGCCAACGCAACTCTCGTCAATCCCCCTGTCCGCGGCTTTCCCTGAGCACAAATGCACCGTGTTCTAACGTTCACATGGACACGGTTTTATTTTCCAAACTGGACTGTTCCCGTGCTCGCATTGTTAAGAATGACTGGGGGTTTGCAGATGGATGCTCCAGGGCCTGCCGAACTCCCACGGGGCAGGGGCTTGCCTTCCTGCATTCATCACAGCTCCCCAGGGGCTAGCACAGCGCCTGGCCTACAGTAGGCTGTCCCTAAACCCTCCTGGGAAAACAGAACAAGGAGCCCGCAGTCAGCTCCCCTCCTCTGGCTACATGCATTCAGCCCGTCCCCTGCCTTGCTTCCTCGTATTCCTGTTTCCTGAGAACATCTTTGTCCAACAAGCTGGTACAAACACCTAGGTACAATGCAGGGCTCAGAAAATACAAGCAGACTCAATATTAATCAGAACTGCTGCTTACTAAGCACTCATCAAGTATCTGGCGCTGTCCTAGGAATGATCTCATTAAATCCCCCCAACCATACCTGAGGCAGGAACTAATATTATCATCCCCATTTCAGTTCAGGAAACGCCACTAGCAGAATTAGGAAACCTGCCCGAGGCCACCCAGGTGAAGTGGTCAACTGAGATCCACCCCAGGCCTGTCTGACCCCAGCCGCACCCTTCACCATGCTGCTGCCTCTCCAAGAAGGCATAGAAGAGGTACCTAGGGGCTGGAGGGTGGAGCAACAGTAAAACGTGATGCTCTCCAAGGCTGATCCACATGGGAAGGCCACCGGCTTGTGTCCAGAGACCTCCCTGAGTATGTGGGTCCCAGACTTGCCAGTGATCCCAGCTGGCGGACACTGGGAGCGGATCACTGCGTCAGGGCCCTGCTGGAAGTGCTGTCCCTCTGTCTCTTTCTCTAGCTCTTACTCATGGACAAAATAAAAAAGTAAACTTTAAAGAAAGAAAGAAAATACACATAAAGCACTCCTTTAACTGCCTTGACTGACTACTTATGATCTGTTCAAGACAGTACATCTGAGTGCTAAGTCCCAGACACTGTGCCTGGTTATGCTGGATTAGTTTTTCTTTTTTTAAGGTTTTTACCATAGGGCATGTACACTTACTAGAGGGAGAAAAAGAGACAGAGAGAGGGAAAGTGAGATATCACCCCCCTAAAGGGGATGGCCATGCTGCAATACCTTCTCCTCCATTCTCTTCTTGGGATTTGGGAATGCATGCACATGTGCCTGGCGTGATTTTTAAGCCACTGGTCTGGGAATTGAACCATGGTCGGCCATGGGAAAATCTAGAACCTTAACCACCACACCACCTGCTGGCCTCCATGCTAGATGTTTAATAGTAGCCAGTGAGTGAATGAACAGAATGACGCTGTCCTCTGCGAGGAGGCCTTGGACCTGTGAACTAGCCATGGCTGGAGACAACTGATTGGTTGCTACGGGATCAGGAAGGACTGCTGCTCGAGAGGGCCCTCTGCTGGTACTTCCTAAGTGGGGGGCACCACACGTGCACACACGCAACACTTATGCCCACGGGGGAGACACACATGCAGACGCTACTCATGTTCAAAGCAAGTGCTCAGAGGGGTTGCAGGGAAAGGGCCTTGGTACTATGCTGCAAGTGACGGTAAGCAAGCAGGATGCTTTGACTCTGCAGGGACACGGCGGAGTCTTATAAGAGTACCAGGTGCTTGGCCACGGTGGTCCAGTGTTAGACATGGATAACAAGATTACAACCCACGCGTATGATTGACTTACGGCATCTGTAAGAGCCGGGAGACGGTAGGCATGCCATTTTTACAGGCGTCACAAGACAGCGTAGACTCCAACACGGCCACTTGAAATGAACAGAGGCGCATTTTAGTTCCACAGAACACGCTGGCAAATCCACTTTGTGATGAAAAGTTTGACGCCGCTTTGCAACAACTGTGCAGGCGGATCAGGACGGTGTCAAAACTCTTCACACACAGACAGATGGCGTACGTGGGGAGGGGGTGCTGGCAACGCTGGCGTTACCGATGACTCCAGAGAAAGGGTTCCGAAACCACATGCTGACAGAAAGCTAAAGATACTTCAAAGATAATTGGAGGAAGGATCCGAAATACCATCTATAAAAGTGTTTGTTCTCTGAAAAGAGAAGTAAACACTACACAGATGTCCCGTTCTGAACTCGGAAGACAGTTCGCCTCTTGCCTGCTTTTAATCAAAACCAGCACAGCCAACACCTACTGCTGACACCGCCCGACGCCCGGAATGCTGTAAACCAGAGCAGCCGGGTCGTCCAGCCCCACGTCTTTGTTCAGTTTCAGTTGCTCAGACTCGACTCAAAGTAGTCTCGGGCCCTGTTCTCTCTAGCAGCCTCACTTGACCCAGAAACCTCTGGCGGAGGATTGACGTCCGAGAGCTACCCTGCCGTCCCTGCTCTGCTCGAGCCATGAGTCCTGCGCCGGCTGTGCAGGGGTGAAAGGGCCCCTGGGAGAGTCTGCAGCAGTTCCCACATCCCTCTTTCCTAACGGGGCCTCTCACCTCGCCTCCAGCTCCCCTCCCGACTCAGGTAGCAGCTCCTGGATCCAATCTGTCTAGGGGTCTGCTTTCCTGGCTGCCTGGCCTGTCTGGGCCCACTGGACTCTCACCCGCCAGCCATCCTGGACCCAGATGGCCCAGGGCTGCCCTGTTGCTTGCAAGTCACTCACCAGTCACTCCTGGCACCTGCCCGCGGGCTGCCTGGCCCTGGCATCTGCTTCTACATCAGACTCACACTGCCGTACATCTCGCCACATCCTCCTGCTCCCAAAATTCTAGTGGATTTCCCAAAGCTCCCTGAAGGTGTCGGATAGCCTGACCAATGAACAGCCTGACAATGAATTTTCACTGAAGTGCATTTAAACCAATTACTCAAATCTGGTCTGCTTTCAACTGGGTAAGAATTGCTGGCAGTGTAGGATGACAACTTTCTTGGGTGTTTCCTGGGTTCTGGAAAGAGT